TCACAATACCCAGCAAATTTATTTTGTTTTATTTCTGTATTTATAAAACTTTCTTGCTTGACACTTCTCCCTGAGTAAGAATGCCAACAACCCTGAAGATAAACAAACAAGGACCAAACACTTGGACTGACGGACACAACAAGGCCTTGTGGGCAACTGGAAGGCCAAGCTCAGCTCAGAGTCACAGCTGCTGCTCTCTCTCACCTCTGCTTTCTCTGGAGAAGAAGCTGCTAGGTTCAGGAAAGTATGTGGGGAGAAGAAAGAAGGCTCCTGTAGCTCTCCTTTGTCAAGTTCAAGTGCCAGGAATTTCGAGGGCCTTTCAAGTCCAGTTTCTGATTTTCTTTCCTCTGCATGGGAGAGCATATATTTTCCTCCAAAATATCACTGTCAATTTAGAGCAACTAGGTAATCAATTCACTTAAAAGCACACTCACAGAGTGTGGTGGAGGCAGCCAATAAAGATTTCTCATGAGTCCTTCCCACAAACAAAAATAGAAAATGCTACACTTTGTGTTCAAAAATTGTACTGACAACCATGGCTAAGTTCACACAAACCTAACTCCAGGTGTGGTGCATTGTAATTAAAAGTGAGTCATACCTTTTAAAAATTAGAGCTTGTACCTCTTTAACTTGTGTGAAAAATAAAGATAATGTAGATAACAGGCTTCCCTCCTCCTGTGGCTGAAACGTTCCGTGGGCCATGTGGCCACATTCAATAAAAACCTGTTACGCTGCAGCAACAGAAGCGTGGTAAGATGACCACACATCCAGAAAAGTCCTACATCACAACAGCCCATGTGCCAAGCACCAGTCCACAGCTCGGAGAGGACCAGCAAGCTGAGCTAAGGGGACTGCTTCTGTTTTGCTTCACGGCTTATTCCTGTAGGTTAGGCTCTCCAAGTTGGGAATAAAGTCCTACAAAATACTTATATCAACTCTCACACCACAGGACATAAGTATGCTAACAGCCAGTTTCTTCACAGCCAGGCATGGTGGCACACATCTGTCATCCCAGCACTGAGGAAGGCTGAAGCAAGAAGATCACAAGTTTGAGCCCAGCCTAGGCAACTTAGAGAGATCCTCTTCCAAAATTTTAAAAAATAAAAATTTTTAAAGGGCTGGGGATGCGGCTCCATGCAAAAGCCCTGGATTCAATCCCCAGTACTGAAAAACAAAGTCTGCTCACAGCAAAATCCCACTGACCTCTTACCAGCTACTTCTCCAGACCAGACTGCAGCTGTTTCTAAAATGGCCAGGAATACAACAAAGCTGTCCCCACGGAGCCACCGTACGAAAAAACTGATTGGTTCCTCCCTGTCTGCTCTAAGATATCAACTCAATACCTGTGTTTGATTAGTGATGAGCATGTACATTATATATCTTCCATGTGTTGGAGATGAAGCATCCTTTCTATTTCAAGCAAAAATTTTTTTGTCTCTTTTTACTTGAATCCAACTGGATCTCCTATATATAGAGGAACCCAGTTTTATTTTTCTGTAAAAGTTCTATTACTTAATATTTAATTCACCTCAACTCTACTTAGCATTATTGATGACTCACACTTAGCTTTTGAGACTCTAGTGTGGATCGATACTGACCCCATCTCTTAAAAAAGCAATAAAAGACTTTGTTGCTCTTTTAAGGAAGGAGAATTGGCAAGCGATGAATTTTAAAAGTCAATTCAAGAATAGATGTCATTTTCATTTTGTCACAAAAGTCCTGACTGAGAGACAACACTAGATCCAGAGGACTCTGGCCCTACTGGTGGCATCTCCGGCAGGCTAATTAGATGGAAACCCTCTGACGCGCCACTGGTGATGCACATGAGGATGACGAGAGTGAATCACTGCTATGGATCTTCGATGACGTCGTTTCAGTTGGATACCTGAATAGTGTTTTCTCACCAACAGCTGTGGGCGAAGGAAAATGTCTAATGTTCTGAGCTGAAGCCTCTGGTGAGCCTGTTAAATCCTTTAGGTGTTATTTATGCTAACTGGCCTAAGCCACTACATATATTTCTGAAAAGTTGCACTGGTTGATTGCTGCTGGTACGGCTAGTAGCATATCAACTACACACTTTGGTGTTTGTTGTTTAGTTTTTGTTTAGTTCGTTTGCTCGTTTGTGTGTTTGTGTATCTGTTTGTTTGTTTGGTTGGTTGTTTTGTCTGCCCTGGTCTCAGGCTGTCTGGGAACATCCTGGATGAGGCCCCGTGTTTCTGAACCTCAACGGTGCTCTATGCATGAGCTACCTCCACTGGCCACAGCCATCTCCTTCAAACCCTGCACCAAGCTGGTAATATTTCAGTCTCCAGGCAGTTTCCGAGCACAATTTGATTCCAGGTGGAGCCAAAATAACAAGAAATTTAAACGCTAAGAGATGGGCATGGGGGTGTACATCTATAATCCCAGCACTCAGGAGGCTGAGGCAGGAGGACCATGGTGAGTTCAAGGCCAGCCTGGGCTACATATTGAGACCCTGTCTCAAAAAAATAAATAAATATATAAATAAATAAGTACAGTGGTTTCTCTAAACAAAACAATACAAGAATTCATAGTAATAGTAGCCAACAATAAACTACTGTTCCATAACTACTACTCCCAAATAACAGACCTCTCATTTAAATTTTCTGATCACTATAAACCCACTCAGAGTCAAACTGTAGTTGAAATTCCTAGGTTCCAACAATGTGAAACTAAAAATTATGAGACGATCAAATCTCTTATTCTATATTCTAAGCCTAGAATGCTCCCAGTGGGTTGTTAAGGAAATAGTGCTGTGCAGCAGGGAGAGGAGATGAGTGAGCAATGCTGGTTACAAGGCTCTGATGTCAGGAGAAAAACCAGGCACTGCTGACAACACGAAGACATGCACAGAATAGCTGGGGGACAACTTGGAAAAAGCAGAGTATTTGAAAATGACATGCTTAACTGCTCAAAAGAAACAGTGTTAAGAAGTGACCTCAGGCTGGGCGTGGTGGCACACACCTGCAATCCCAGCACTCAGGAGGCTGAGGCAGGAGAATCAAAATAGTTCAAGGCCAGCTTGAACTACATAGCAACACCCTGTCTCAAAAAACTGAGAAAGAGGGGAAGGGAGAAGAAGAAGAAGTAGAAGGAGGAGGAGGAAGAGAAGGAGAAGGAGAGGAAGGGAAAGAGGGAGGAGGAGGAGGAGAGGAAGCGGGAGGAGAAGGGGAGAAAGAAAAAAGAAAAGAATAGTGAACATTCTTGGAAGAAGTGATTCACAGAATAAAGATACAGCACTGGGGAGAGAAGGAGAGATCAGACCAGAGCTATCACCTTAGCTATCAGGTAAATATGAGAATGGGCTTCTCTTCAGGAGAAACATAGGGGCCAGGCACCTGCAGAGCAAGGCAGACACCGCCACAACATCCACTGACCTCCTGCCAGCCACTTTTCCAGACCAGACTGGAGCCATGAATACAACAAAACTGGTCATGAATACAACAAAACTGTCCCTATGAAGCCACCATAGGAAAAAGAACTGATTGGTTTATCCCTGTCTGCTCTGACACCAACTCAGTACCTGTGTTTGATTAGTGAACATGGGACAGTGTGCTCATGCTCCACAGTACCTGAGTTACTCCCAGGGCTTCCCTGGGCAAGAAGGTCAAATGATAAACCTGCCAAGCACACTGCAACCACACTGTACAGACACAGCCCTGCCGCTTCCCTGCCAGACCATTCTCCCACTGTGTTTCTACTCTAAAGACTTCAATTTGTAGTCACCAAGGTTTCACTGGCACCAGGAACATCCCTGTTGCACACATTTTTTTTAAAGTTTACAAGGATCCCGACGAATGAATGACATCACAGGAGCAGGTCTGTTGGTAAGGTTTTACTCTTGTTAATTTTTTCTCATTTCTCCCATGCACTAAAATACAGACTCCTTAAAAGCAGACAAAACCTGTTGCTGTTGGTTTCTTTCCATCAAGCCGCACACTTGATGCTCAAAAGGTTTGGCTGTTGCCTCCAACACATGCTTGACATAGTCAGTCAGACACGGGGCTGTCACAGAACTTAGAAGGTGTGCCACTTCCTAAAATGGACGCCTGTAAGTGCTGAGTATCTGATTTTAGGTACTTTTGTTTATGAAAAGCACCCTTACTTTTAATTAAAATCCTACTTGATGCTGAAGCCTTTTTAAAAGTTTCACAATTATCGCTTCCTCTTTTTCTGGGAATCTGTCACCACGGCAACCAGTCTTGACATATCTACATTCGAAATGACCCCCATATTCCCATCTTCTCCTACAAGGCAGAAACCAAACATCGCGCACCCCAGTATCCCAAGGTATGCCCCGAGTTTGTTTTCTAGAGAATCACTGTCAGTCCTGTGCAGTGCAAAAGCAGAACAATTCAAATCGAGATTTGTGATATAAAAATTTAGTTTATGTCTTCGAAGTTATGGCAGGGTGAATTATTCTTCATAAGTATCTCTTAATTTGCACCATCATCACCAACATACACCCTGTGAGAAGTCAAATTAACACTGAGAGTTTGATCCCTCTGTGAATGGGGCTATACTGAGCCAGAGCCAGAGCACCTTCAGCTGCCAGGTTGGGGCACAGAGGACTGGCAGCTGGAACAGGTTGTATTCCCCACCTCAGCTGGAATCCAAACAGGCAGTGTTAGGGCTTCCTGGAGGGAGCCCCAGGGGCTGGGGCAGAAGACTCTCGGGGCAGTTCCTAAGGTGCTGCCCTAAAAGGAGTTCTTGGGGTTTACAGAAGATGGTTCACAGTGTGGGATTTCCTACCGGGGTAGGTTTGTTTTTTGTTTTTTGTCTTTTGGGTTTTTTTCTTTTGAGACAGGGCTCACTATGTAACCCAGACTGGCCTCAAGCTCACAGCAATCCTCCTGCCTCAGCCTCCCAAATGTTGGGATTACAGGCGTGTGCCACCACACTCAGCTGGATTTCAGAGCTAAAGTAAACTGCCCTATTGTGCATTCATACAAACAAAACTATTGTGCATTCATACAAACCTTTTTTTCAATATCTTCATAACACTTTTCTTCTTCTTTTTCCTGTTATTAAAAAAAAAGCAATCAAGTATCTGTAAAAAAAAAATATGCTTACCTACAGAGGGTGATCAAAATACATGGTGCATATTTAAATTTTAAAAATTATTACAGTAAAAGACACATTGCCATGAATCCCCCTCAAAATATTCTCCTCTATTCAAACACATTCATCCCATCATCCATGCCACTTTCTGCAACAGCTCTGGAGTCCTCTTTCATGAATGTCTTTACCAGGTGGGATCAAAAACACAGTGAATGCAGCTGCTGAGTGCCATCCAACAAAAAGGCAAGCTTGTAAAAACATGACACTGTGTCCTCATCCACCTCAGTCACCAGCTCTGGCACCATGTGACATCCAGCTCGTCCCTAAGGTCACAATGACCAGGAAAGGGATATGTTTTAAATCCATTCAGGGCATCAAGGCAGCCAGGGCAGTGCATCTAAAGACACTCAGGAAAGAGGACTCCAGAGCTGCTGCAGAAAGCTGCAAGGATGATGGGATGAATGTGTTCAAAGTGAAGGGGAGGATTCTGAAACAGATTCATGGCAGTGGCATTTACGGTAGTAATTTTTAAAAATTTAAACATTCACCATATTTTCCCATCACACCTTGTAAATCCTTATTTTCCCCTCTCCCTTCTTATTTGTCAGGTAAATTCTCCATTACCATAAATATCATCAGGAGTTCAGTTTAGAGCCTCAGGCCCCTCCTTCCTGCTGTTCTGATACCTTGTTCCTCCCATCTCCTCCCGTGTTGCTAAGCACCATGCCTTTCCCATCCTAAGTACCTTGTTGTTATGCACAACTTGTTAAATACTTCTGTACAAAAGGCAGCAACATTACATTCTCTGATGCCCCCTGATTTGCTGTAACTTAATAAGCGTCTGCAGCTCCTTGAACTCAGTGTGTCTGGGTCTACATTACTCTTTTCACTGCTGCCCCATTTTCCTTTCTACGAAGGATGCAAAATTCAATCTACCAAGCCCTGTGGATAAAACTTGCATGTTTCTATCACTCTTATTAATTAACATATTTGTGGGGTAGCCCTCCTATCAAGATGATTGTTCAAAACATCTATGTTTAATTTCCATACAAAGAGCAAATTCCTTCCCTAAAAGACTACACCAATCTATATGTCAGCCCTAAGAAATACCCCAGCTTTCTTGCATCTACACTTACAGCTAAATCCAGTATTCAACTACCTACGAGGATACTGTACAATAAATCTTCATTCTGGATTTATTAATACTGGATGCTGTTAAAATGTTTTAAACAGAGCAAAAACCTCACTGTTCACTTTGCATTTCTTTGATTAGGACTAATGTGGATATACTGAATTTGCATTCTCCTCAGTGAGTTTCCTGTTTGTTTTATTTACCCGAGCTGCCTTTGTAGAAATGGTTTATGATGCTCTTTGTAAATTATGAAAATTTGATTTGTGTGGCAAATATTTTCTTCTTTATTTTGATCAACATCGTTTTTTTCTTTTGTAGTCCTGGAAACTGAGCCCAAGGCCCCATACATGCTAGGCAAGGGCCTTACCACTGGGCCACCCCTCCAGCCTCTTTGGTTAACTTCTGACTGTATAGTATTTTCCAAAGAAAAAGGTTTCATTTTCACCTAGAGCAATACATTTGGCTTTGGGCATGATTGTTTCCTACATACAGGATAGCCCCTTGAGCCCCACTGAAAAGCCTTCTGTACTTTTTCTTTTTTCCTCTTACTTATTCTCTTATTGCCCACGTTTGCCATGCGCAGTGGTCACAATCACCGTGGGGAGGTGGTGCATGCGCAGACCACACCTCAATTCCTTTTTCATCCCTGCCCCCGCCAGTCCTCTCCGTCCCCGCTCCCTCCACCTCTCAGTGCCCTTCATTTCAGTCCTCACTTTCAGGACCTCTTGTTCCTCAGGACCTACCACACTCCAGCCTTCTGGGCCAGCAGCTCCTGTCCCGCCTCCCCTAGCTGGGCAAAGGTGACCTATGACCATCCATCCACCCTCGGACTGAAGATCAGCTACTCCTCCAGGCCAGAGAATGTGAAAGGCACTAAAGATGACAGTGCTAGGAATTAGGCACAGGCTCTTCGTCCAAAACCTCACATCTGGACTCACATCTTTCCTCCAAAAACCCCATCTATCTGTTGTGTAATGGCTGAGTGCACGATAACTCTGCAAAAGCCAGTGTGGCCTGGGTCCCGGAAGTCCAGAGGAAAGGCTGATAGAGACCAACGCCGGAAGACACAAGCGCTGAGCTCGAGCACGGGGAGCTGGCAGAGGACAGTGGTGTCTGCAGGGAGCCTTGGTGAGGGATCAGGCAGTGCCCAGGAGGGACCAAGCCCAGGCAGAAAAGCACAGCATGCTCAAGAAGAGACAAAAGAAAAAAAAAGGAGGGGTGGGGGGAGGAGGAGGAGGGACAAAAGCATTTGCCCAAAGCTCAAGTCCTTTGCCCTTCCCTCCCTCTCTTTACTGAATACACAAAATCAACCCAGAAATTTGTACACAGCCTTCTCAAAAGTAGGCAAAAGCTTAAAGGCTATGAATAGGGTCAAAAAACCCTCAGGGTGACACAGAACCTGACATCCTCTCTCTCTCTCTCTCTCTCTCTCTCTCTCTCTCTCTCTCTCTCTCACACACACACACACACACACACACACACACACACACATACACACACTTCTCTACAACGTGCAAGCCTGCAGACCACGCTGAGCAGCCCCAGGTAGTATCTCTGCCACCTGGGAAAGTCCTTCATGCGTCCTCCCTTCCTTTCCCTGCACGGTGCTGCGTCTCTTCCTTACTCATTTGGAAGGAATGGGACCTTTTCAAACCCTTTACACATTGTTTTACAAACTTAACAGAAGCATGGACTAAAAAAACTTGCTGCTTGTATATAAAACATTTTATAATGAGTGCATCCAGACAGAGCAAGCAATAAGAACTAGAAGACATTCCTGGCCACTCTGACTCAGTTTGTACTTGACACCCAATGTAATTAAAATAGTGCTTAAAAATAAAATATTGCTTAGCTGGGCATGTTGGCACACATCTGTAATTCCAACGCCCAGGAGGCGGTGGCAGGAGGATCACCATGAGTTCAAGATCAGCCTACACTACATACAGTGAGCTCAAGCCCCACCTGGACTACATAGTCAGACTTTTTTGTCTCGAAAAACAAAAGATAAAAGTGTTCAGTGAACACAATATGACATAGGTAAAAGGACAAATTACATATTTCACCTCTATGAGTTCACAAGTTGAAATTAGTTAATTCAGATTAATAACACTTCTTTTGGAAGATAAAAATATTATGAGCATGCCAAATTCTGGCAATATAGAGAATGATGTTGGGATTAAGGATGTGATGCTGGGATTGATTCATGGTTTGATGCTAGGATTAAGGGTGCCCCACCATGAGAGTGAGTGCTACTCACCCTAAAAGTGAGTAGCCTGGATAGGATATAAGGGACAGAAAGAGGGCTGCTGTGTTAGCTGCTTGTTGCTTGCTGCTTGTTCACTACTTTGCTGTTTTGCTGCCTTCTGCCCTGCCATGGACTGTTTCTCCACAGCCATGTGCCTTTGTCATGCTGCTCTGCCTTGGAAGCATCCAACTATGGGCTGAAACCTCTACAAACTGTGCTAAAATAAACCTTGCCTCCCTTTACTTTTTATGTCCTACATTTTGTCTCAGCAACACCAAAAGGAATTAAGACATTCTTTCTTTGTGGGATGAAATGTCTTCAGCATACACAATGTTTAAATTCAATTTATTCCCTGGCAGTGACTTCCCTTGTACTAAACATGAGGCAGCATTAGAGCCCAGGCGACAGCTTACAGGGCCACCTGTGTCCCTGAGTTTAGACACAGCTCTGAAGGGCCCGGTGTCCACACAGACTCAGACCTGGCTGCAGATGTCCTGTACCCCAAACATGAGAAAGGGGAAATCACCCCCATCTCAAAGACATCAGGTGACAGCAAGCTGGAAACAGAGCACGGATGCCCGTGACTTGTCTCCATGGCTGTATGGTAAAGTAAACTTTATTTTCCCCTTTATTTCTGGCAGGACTGCAGTAACATCATCTCTGTAGGGCCAATGATCCCAATGCCTGCTCCACAGGGACAAGGGTGGTCAGAGCCTAGAGCCCCAGCCCAATGTCCCCACAAGGCCAGTGACACAGTGGCTATTCACCAGGGGACATCTATGGAGTCAGACGGGGCTGTCCCCACAACCACCACCATGCTCCACCTCCCTGACTCGCCCCTTGGGGGAGCACAAGCAAAGGTAACTAAGTGTAAAAGCCACTAAAACAACGCCGTGACTGCGGACACACAGGATGCCAGATCCAAGGCACAGTGACCAGCAGCACAGACCTGGGATCCTCGTCTGCAGTCTGGGATGAATCTGTGATCCTGTGTCCTTCTCCACCAACTGTGTGGTCTGCTAACAGAATGACAAGGAGTAGGCACTGAGGCCCAGACCACAGAAACGAGATACAAGGAGCTCACCTTGATGCCTTCAAAATTAGGAGTGTTGTCATGAGCATCGTCCACTTCTTTAACCATTTCAGCTGGTACCTAGGAAGAAAACACACGTGTTTCATACATAGCCATTGTCAGCCTGTGCCAAACTTCTCGGAACAGCTATTCTCCTTCAAGGTGTCTTCCTGAAAGAGTTAAAGGGATCCATGCACACTCGTGTTTACAGCAGCGCAACTCATCATAGCTAAATTTTGGAAGCAGACTCTACATCCATCGGCAGATGAATGGAGAAAGAAAATGTGGTATTTACACAGCACAAAGCACTACTCTGCCATAAAGAAAAATAAACTTGAGTCATTTGCAGGAAATGCACGTTGAGATCATAATGATAAGTGAAATAAGTCAGACACACAAACATCAAAATCGCATTTTCTCTTATATGAGAAACCCAAAGCCTACATACTTAAAGGGCAAAATAAAAAATGGATGAGGGGGCTGGGGATTTAGCTCAGCAGCAAAGCGCCTGCCTGGCAAGTGCAAGGTCGTGAGTTCGGTTCCCGGTACCAGAGAAAAACCAAAAAAAAAATAAATAAAAAATAAAAAATAAAAAAAAAAATAAAAAATGGATGATATGTAACAAGGAGATAGATTTTTTTCAAAAGGGAAGGGGACCAGTAGACAGAGGGAGAGGGCAGGGAAGAGAGGGTAAATGGATGGGAAAAAGAATTGAGAAGTGTTATGTACACGTACCAACTCCCCACAAGGAATACAATCATTATGTACTTCAAACACGGGCTAATAAAAATAAAAATTAAAAATAAATAAGTTAATCTGAGCCCAGAATTGGGATGTGACTCGCAGGTACCTGCCTCGTATGCGTGAAGGCCTGGGTTCCACCCCTAGAACTGCAGAAAAAAAAATATCAAATAAAACGTGTCACACACACTTTCAATATACAACCCAGAAAATACACAAGAATACACCAACCACAAGGGCCAACGTGGCATTAAAGTACCTGCCTAAAATGTCCTAATTTCCTTATTACCATAACCTTAAGTGTGCACAAAAACATCCCAACTGTTATTTTGTGTTTCAACAGAAAACCAATAATTTGATCTTTTTTTTTTTAATCCCATCTGGGAAAAGAGCAAATGACATCACTGGTAATTTAGAAAACTCAGCAGGACATGTGGGCAAAGTACTCCAAATGCCTTCAGAAGCAGGAAGTTGGTTTAAATCAGCGCAGAAGCTGCAGGGATGTAATATATCACAGGACAGATGAACAGCAGGAGTTAAAAATAAAGGAGGAGTTGAAAAATGAAGAAATACAAAAGCTCACTGGTTTTCCTGATTCTGGGCTGAATAAACACAAGAGCAAGGTTGGGACCTCATCTATTTGAAAGGATTAAACTGAGACTCCAATGCTAATATTGACCTTTCACAGGACATTCATTTCCTCCAAAACTACCAAGTGCAAATCTACTTTTAGTGCCTTCAGGTGGACAGTCAGGACAAGGTTTTACAGCTTCAGGGTTTATCTACTCCCCTCTTCCATGAAGCCAGAGGATGGGACAGTGGCTGAGCTCATCACCTCCTCTAAGTGATGCTCCCCAGTGCCAGTCTTCACATGCACATTGTCTGATGGTGCCACTCACCTCATCCTGCGGTCATCCACACACAGTGGCCCACACAAGATGTCCCGTGTGTCAGGGTTCTTCTAGGTGCAGGGATGCAACCTCTCGGGGTTCATAGCTCAGGGGGCAGGCGGTTGAGGTGATACTTGATTAAGGGTAGCATTCAATACACACACACGTGCACACACACACACACACACACACACACACACACAGGTCTAGGGGCAAAACATCCCACACAGAAGTACCCAGGAGAAAATGGGACACAGAAAAATGCCTGAACCTGGAGAGTCTAGGACATTCCCGAGGCCATGCAGAACTCTGACAGGAGGATAAGGAGGCTGAGGCAGGCAGGCACTATGGAGCACAGTCATCCAGGGTCCTGCAACCCACCTGGTCCACTGGCACCTCCACCTTCACATCTGCATCCTCCTTGACATCCAGAGCCCCTTGGGCATCCTTGGTAGGAGTTCGGGCTTTGTACACATCACCTTCTAGGGAAAGAACATGCACAAGGTTTGCAAAGCAATGGAGAAAATGAAGTCCACTGTGCTTTTCTGTGTTTTGTTTTGTTTTAGAGACAAGATCTCACTATGTAGTTCAGGCTGGCCCTGAACTCACGCTGGTCCTCCTATCTCAGCCTTCTGAATGCTGGGATTACAAGCGTGCACCACTACAACCCACTTATTGCTCATTTTGTAACACAAACCAAAGTGAGAAAACTCAGCAACCCTAGTTTCAATGCCAGCAGACAGGCAGCCTGGCCAGGGGCCCGGGCTCCACACTGTGCCATCTCTGTTGCCCGCTTGCCATTTCTTTTCACTTCCCCTACGGCTTCAGCTGAATGGGCCTCTATTCCTGCAGTGTCTGTCTATGTCTCTGGCTCCACAAAGGTCCTGGGCTCTGGAAGTCATCGGCATCCGTTGCCCACCCACCATGGCAGACAGTCCATGTCACAGTCAAGGACAGTGCACACCTGATAACCCTGTGTCCAGCTAATCTGGTTAGAAGTAAGTACAAAGCAGCCCGCCAGACAGCAGACTCTCAGCATAGACTGGAAGGAAATACAGCTGCAGAACATATTTAAGAACTAGTTTAGAGCAACCAGATGCCACCATTGTGTGGTATGAGGCAGGCATCTTAATCAGCAGCTAGAAACTGCACTACAACTAGATATATTAAATGCTTATAAAATTCTGAGATCTTTGAAAAGTTTATCCTCATCCTCCTAGAAGCAATAGAAGAGAAGAAAAAGAAGACAGCCAGCCAACTTCAGCATCCAAAATTGGAAACACAGGCTCCGACGAGCTCAGGCATCCAAAATGGGAAAGTCCAATCAAAGGCCCACTTTGCTTCCTGCTCTAGTGTTGCTCCTGCTCAACCCATTCCTGGCCCACCTCACCCTCCTCCTCCCTCTCCAGTACTCAGCCCAGAAGAACCATTCCCCAAGTCTTGAGCTGAAGGGACCCACAACTTCCTCAGGTGGAGGGTGGGAAGACAAGAGAACAAGCACTGACAGGACTTTATCCAGAGCTCCAGACCCAGGGGGCACTCTGGAAAAGAAAGTCGAATAGAAATCAAAGTAGAAGTAGGACTGGTGATAGAATGTTTAAAATTATTTCATTTTAAAATCAAGGTTGGGGTGTAGTGGTGCACACTTGTATGTAATCCCAGCACTTGGGAAGCTGATGCAGGAGGATCACCAGGAATACGAGGCCAGCCTGGGCTACACAGTGAGTTCAGTCCAGCCTGAACTATATAGTGAGACCCTGTCTCAAAAATAAATAAATAAATATTAAGTAAATAAATGAAATAAAGTCTGGAGATCCATCCTACAAGGGTGCACATGAACAATCTGGGTGGCTTTTCTATCCAAGTTTCCTTCAAAGGATGCATTCCTTATTTTCTCCCTGGTCCTTACAGAAGCCTGATGCGCACATGGACTATGGAACTGATTTTAAACCTGTATTTACCTTCCTACCTGGAGAAATTCATTGCCTTCAGAGCCAGGCATTTGTTTTCCAGCTCTACTTACCACTGATCTACAAGCTGAGCATGTCATTTAAAAAATCAGATGGTTACAGGTCAAGAAATATTCTTGTACACACATGCACAGGTGCATATATGCATCACGTATCTGTTAGTGTTTTGCTTTGTTGGCAGCAAAATGAAACATCATGTTACCTGCACCACTTAGGATGAAAGGTTCTATCAACGTTTTCTTCTTTCCTTCTTTGGCATAATAAACCGAATCCTTCGTTTCAGGTGGAATGTCTTCACATTTAGGAAGTTCTTTGGCCTCCACCTGAGGTATCAATTGAGAAGGTGTCTTAGGAACACAGCACACTGAGTTCTGCAGGTCCCCATGTGCAATCGGGGAAGGCATGGGCTCCTGGGATACATAGCAGGAGACCAGGCCCATCCTAGAATCCTCCTTTTAGGCACAATCTCTGCCATCCTACTCTTTCCATTTGCTTCTGCAAAGAAGCAACACAATTCTGTGCTCCCTCCCTCCACACCTCCACAGGGACAGCTCAATTTATGTCCCAACCAGGGGTCCAATTAAGGGGATGAGTTCACAGATGGCCTCGTTGCTACCATCTGAGGGATCAGCAGTGATGACTGGGGACTGAGCTTGTCAGCGGAGGTTCCTTGGGACCTTGCAGACACACTTTAAAGCCTGATTAAAAACTGCTGCTCAACAACTTCTCCTGCCAGACCCTCTGAGTGTGAGGAGTCTCTGGAAAAAAACAGCCAAGTGACAACTTTATTTGAAGCTATGATAAAGGAAAGCCCAGATTTTTAAAAATGCTGTAGACAATAACACCAAAGCCCAACCAAATCACAGCATAGAGGTGAAATAATCCCCAGCATCATCCCAATTCCATCCCATTAATTACGAGTATCTTTATACTATGAATTGTCTAATTTTAGTTTTTCTTTTTTTTTAAATCTTTACTCATGTATTTGTAAGTAGATCCAGGCAAAAGTATAGACACTTCTCTCATGTTCTCTATGTCACTTAAACGGTGAGCTGAAAACATCTGCAGTGGACCCTTAGTTATAACCAACCTCACGTATGAAAAATTTGGGTTACAACCAGAATTTTAGGTTTAACTTATGATCATAGTCGAATGTCACTTGCTTATGTGTTTGTAAACAAAGATTTGTGATGCCAGAAAAGTGTGTGTAAGTATACACAAGCACCAGGCTGAGCCCAGACGCATATGTTTGTGGACATGATTTCAGTCAGTGCTTTATATAATTACAATTGCTGCTATCAAAATGATCCCCAAACAAGCTAGAAAAGAAGCTAGGGAAGGAAGAGAAGGTAAAGAAAACAATCACAATCAAAAAGAAGAAGGAAACTGTGGGGAAATATGAGAGTGGATTCATGTGACCAATCTCGCTAAGATGTACAGTATGTCAAAATATCGCATCTAGTCAGTCTTACAGACAAAAGATTTTTATAAAGAAGCTAGTGTTGCTAGAGGTGTTGCTTAAATTAGGAAGTCATGATCAACAATATTAGATGACATAGACAATTATCAGTGTAGAGAAATGAGAGGCAGATGGCAGGTGATAGCCTGTCTGAGTCTAATTTGTGAAAAAGCTAGGGTTACAAATGCAGATCTTGTAGAGGATAATCCATCAACAAATGATAATGGTGAAACATTTCATGCCAGTAAGGGGTGGTTTCACAACTTTAAAGCAAGAGCTAGGGTTCACAGCATAACTAGGCAGTGCTGATAAAAGCAGCCAGTGCTGTGAAATGATGATACGGAGAAATGACTTTTGCTCTCCTGGACTTTTCAACTGTGATGAAACTGGCCTTTTCTAGTACAAAATGCCCAACAAGATATACGTTATCCAGGAAGAAAAGAAAATGCCAGGCCACATGCCTATGAAGGATAGGCTAACCTCATGCCTATGTGCCAATGTGAGTGATGATCTCTGGATGAAACCTCTCTTGCTTTATCACTCTGAGACCCTAGAATGTTCAGAAAACATAAAGTCATGAAGACTAGGCTAGGAGCCATGTAGCAATCTAACACAAAATCTTGGGTAAAAAGAGTACTTTTTCTTGAGTGGATCAGGAAGGCTTTCTGCTTTACTGTTAAGAAACATCAAGAGGACAAAAGTTTACTACTCAAGCTCTCCTCATCATGGACAATGCTCCACTCACCCATGGGATTTGGAAAAACTGGCTAAAGAATTTCATGGCTCTCAGTCAAGTTTCTCCCATGTAATACAACTCCTCTACTGCAGCCTATGGAGCAGCAGGTTATAGCTAACTTTAAGAAGCTATACACCAAGAAACTCTTCCCGAAGTGCTTCCAGATGGTCTCAAATACAGATTTAACCCTTAAAGTGTTCTGAAAGGAACATTACAATATCCTTTCCTGTGTGGGGTTAATTGAGAACTCCTGGGCCAATTTCTCTCTCAGGACACTGAGATCTTCCTGGAAGAAAGTATAGCCTAAAATTATACAGAAGAGAGATTTTGAAGGCTGTGTAGAAGAACCTGAGCCTTCAATTGATCCTGTGGCTGACAACATTGTCACCAGAGCAGAGTCCACAGGCTTGCAGGTAGACAGTGATGACACTGAGGATCTGGAGGAGGAACACTCCAGAGGAACTGTCTAGAGAGGAACTTCAGCAACTTCTGGCTGAGCCACACAGAGTGGCAGCTGAGTTGCTTTCTTAGGAGCAAGGGAATATCAACAATCAGTGTAGCAAAGTTTTTCTTCTGAAATAAAGGAAATCCTGAAAAAAAAAAAATGAACAGAGCTACAAACATCTGTAGAGAAGCCCCACCCAGAAAGAGAAAAAGCCAATTGTTACAATCACTTGGTTAATGACAATGTCATGTCACACTAGAGAATACTGTTAAAGAAAAGACAGACAACCCTAGGCCAGTTTTAAGTTCTGAAAAGGTTGAGATCTAGTGAGCCAGAAGCAGGTCCTAGTGGGCTACAGACTCTCCCAAGGAGAGAAAGGACACCAGAGAGCCAGATTCTGATGTTCTCATGGAAGGGGCTCTCTTTCCAAAATAACCACCTCCCATTTCACCCTCCCTTCCTGTAAGCCAAAGATGTCAACTTGAATGGTGAGTACAGTAGGAAATTGTTGTTTCTGTTAAACTAGGCACATTTTATAAATTTTTGGTAAATACACTAGGAAAATTATTGGTGTTTCTGGTAAATTGGGCACATTATACAACCTCTTTAAGAAAAGATTAGTTAAGGGGAACCTTAGGAGGTTCAGAACACATAGGTATTTATGTTATTTCTCATGGGGGAAAACAGTCTTGATTTACAACCAACTTGACTTACAACCAGTCCTCATGCATGGATTGAGTTCATGAGTCAAGGGTCCCCTGTACCTTGTGCCATTAATATTGTGCACATAATCAAACTACCAGGGCTTTTCTTTTTTCCTTGCGAAAATAGTCCTCCAGGGCTGGGAATATAGCTCAGTGGCCCAGCACCTCCATGACAAGCATGAGGTCCTGAGTTTGATTCCAGGTACCAAAACAAAAAGAAAATATTCCTTCAACCTCATCATCCAAGAGACCAAAACGTCTCCAGTTGTAGAGGCTTTCCTGTGAGCTGAAACCATGTTCCTAAGCATAGGTAATGAGCCCAGCAAAACCGGTTTTAGAAATAGAAAATGGCCCATGGTGCTCATGGATCTGGAGTAAGCTGGGATTGAAGCTTCCTAAAGATCTAGCTAATTCTCTTGGGCATCTCCAAACTCTAGTTGTTCCTAACCATTTTCCATTATCTTTGACCTCTGTGATAAGGGACACCATATTTCCCTTCTTATCTCTGGAGTAACACTCAGAGGAAATGAAAAAGGCAGGTGGATGACCCACCCTGCAGACCAGAGCAGGAAAGCATCTGTGACACAGAGCAAGCTCATGCAACACACACGGGAGCCACCATGAGTGACCACCCCTACCTGGCCACACAGTGAGCTAAAGATAGGGGCCCCTAACCTGCCACTGAAACCTCTGCCACCCCATAAGTGTGTTCTCCCATGGCTGTGGCCCTGCCTACATCATAACACACCCAGGGCTGGGGACAAAATGAGTGGGCACAGATGTCTGCTTACTATTACAGTAAAGTACACTCACAGGCACTCTCTGGAAGCGATAAATTGAGCAGGAAACAAGCAGCAGGAGCCTCCCATGCTGATTTCCCTGCCCCTGGGTCTCAAGCCCCTGTGAAATGCACTGGAGCCCTATTTACAAAGTGGCTAGCCCTTGTTTGTAATCCCATTTGTCTTTCTTCCTATTAAAAATATTCTCAGAAAACAAACCTGAGGCACATTGGATTTATTTCTCTTTCCCACTTTAGGGACCATTATTTTTCTCCACAGCCTCCTTCAATCAGACTGTTTACACTTCAACACTATTTTAAAATATTATCTTGGTCCATGTGCAAAGGGCAGCCTCTCAGGGTGGGAGGCTGTGAGATAATCCCTTTGGGGTAGCTAACTGAAGAGCAATAGCCTCCTATCTCAAGTTATTCCACCCTGGGGTAGAGGGTGAAAAATGCACTAACACAGGGCCCCGTGCGAATGTCCATGGACCATCCAAAGCAGGTCAAGGTCTCTCACTGGCCAGCCAGTTCTGGCTTTGAGCCGTCAGGCAGGTGGGAAATAAATGCTATTTGAACCCGGCTATTGCCCCTTCAGGCTGCTGGAAGATTACAGTGAATCCCGCCTCTGTTGCTGACTGCCCAGATATTACTAGCCAGCAAATGTCAATTAATTCTGAAGTATGGACTCCATGCTGAGCATCACAGGCTGAATCTGCTTATAAAGGACAGGTCTCGATCTCAGCCCACATGTGTCTCTACAACTGCTCACACACACAGCTTTAATTTATGAAATTGATCTCCTGTTCACCACTGACACTTCAGCTCTATGCCCATAGGAAGAGTAATGTGCTCACTGTCAATGTGATATAAATACAATGCTTACTAACTACTGATTTTTTAGAGGCTTCCACCATAAAATATTCATTTTAATAGATAAATGAAATTTTAAATATTTATTAAATTGTCCTTACTTCTTTGGAAAGTGACCGATATTAAAGATCACAATAAATGTAATTGCATAATAAGTGCAGTTGCACAATAAATGCAAATGCATTTACTGTGCAAAACTGAATTTCAGCCCAGTGTGGTGGTGCATGGCTATAATCCCAGCACTTGGGAGGCTGAGGCAGAAGGATTGCCATGAGTTCAAGGCCAGCCTGGGCTATATAATGAGTTCAAGGTCAGCCTGAACTACATAGTGAGACCCTGTCCCAGGAAAAAAAATTTAATTTTATATAACAAAATAAGAGTGCATAGCTTCATTCCATTACTGTCACTGCACTAAAAGCTCAGTTTAATTGGGCCCCATAAGACACTGAAGGGCCTATGAAGAAGTATTTTTCAAAGCTTGACTGCTTATACCAAGCAATAATTGACAGAACCGGTCAAATAATAAGGCTGCCTCCAACTTGCATTTTAGGTATTGTCATGGCTTAGATGTCCCCCCAAAGCCTCATGTGCTCCAAGGTGGGGCTTTTCTGAGGTAGCTGGATCTAGGGTATGTGATAATGAGATTAAGAGTATGTGATAACTAAATGGCTTGAGCACAGTTCTGAGTGTGGATAATGGAAGCCCCACTCTGGGTGTGGGTGGCATCTACCAATAGGCTTGTAGCCTGGATGGAATGTAAGGCAGAAAGGGAAGGCAGGCGTGCTGCTGCTGCTGCTGCTGCTGCTGCTGCTGCTGCTGCCGCCGCTGGCTGTCTTCCTGTCTGCCCTGCCATGGACTGTTTCTCCTCTGTGATGTCCCTCTGCCACGACTCCCTGCCTAGGAGACAGCCAACTATGAACTCTGAGATAAAATAAGTCTTTCCTCCTCTAACTTGTATGCATCAGGTATTTTGTCTGAGCAACAAGAAAAGACAGATGTACAATGAGTAAAGTGTACTTCTGGGGGTTTTATTTTTGTTATATTTTCCTGGGAAATGAACATTTTTTAGCAGTGCTATTTAAGGTTCTTCTGCTACATTTAGATAAAACCTTTCATTCTGTCTAAAGTGGAAATCTAGAAGAGACAAACAGTGCTGCTCTTACGTGTCATAAACATTCTGCATGGGGAGCCTGTGACAGTTTAAATGAGAACTTCACACCCTTGCGAGATGCCTGCTGACAGAGGGTCCAGAAAAAGAAAATGAGGCAATGACACAGGATATCAGCTCCCATTAATAACTGAGACCTGGAGAGGCAAGTGGCCACAAGTCACTCAGCCCGTGAAGTTAGCCAGGATCCAAGCGAAGAAGTCAAAGCCTACAGCACTCGTGCTTAAAGCAGTAAGCCTTCAGAGACAGCTGTAAACAGGCCACTACAGAAAGAAGTCATAACTGTGGACAAGATTTTACAGACATTTACTTTATCCACAGGAGGAGCATCTCACTGTGCTCTGAGGAATCCCCAAAAATAATCCCAAATGTGGAAGCAGACCAGTCCTCCACCGTAAGTCACAAGGATCCTACCAGACATCAGATGCAGTTTTATGTAAGACACCTAGGTCACCTTTTCTCCCCTCTTCGTTCTCACTGATGCACGTAAGATCTGGGCACAAGCAACCGCTCACGTAGATCCACACCAGTCCTGCCTTCTCACTGGTTGCTTAGGTTTCCACAGCCCCTGAAGAGTGGGATTTGGAAGGTCGCTTCATCCACGCTAAGTGACAATCACCATTCAAACTTCAGTACCCCACTAGTGTCACCCACGCCATCAGCAGCTGCCCTGGTTGAGGCTATAGAAAAAAACTGCTGAATCCAGTCAGCAAGGTGAGATCCACTAAGGCCAAACTGTGCCCATTGTTTTCATGTTCTAATGATCATCATCCTGCATTCATTCAACAAACACTGCTGACACGCACAGCTCAGTGAAAGAAAACTCAAAATAAGCTGATCACTCCAAGCAGGAAACCACATAAAGAACAACAGAGTTGATTCTGCAGAAACCTCTTGTTCAGTAAGCACCAGTCAAGCATGACAAAAGAAAGAAACAATATGGGCGATCTCACTAACAGGCTGTCATGCAAGGATCACACGAAATTTAGCAGGGTGCACTCTGGGAAGACATGTTTTGGAAGGAAGTCAGCTCCTTGAGCCAGGACTGGGCACAGAGTTCAATGGGACCTTGAGAGCTGTACAAACCCATCATAAGGACTGTTAAGACTCCAAGGCAGACTTCTGCCTTCCTCTTTAATCCTGCCTCCCAATACTTCCTTCTCTCTCATGCCTATGTTGCAATATCAATATGTGTGTGTCGGTACATGCACACATGCACGTGTGCGCACGCGCACACACACACACACAGAGCAAGCCACTTCTCACCTCAGTGCCTCCTCATCCCCACAGGAGCCCATGCTCAGCCTTGCCGAGTGTGCCTCAGTCTCCTCCCTACCTGTCCCATAAGACTTCGTGTCTATATTCCCCCTCACCCTTCTCCTCTGTGTTGTATCACAGGCTCTTTGTGTGCCGCCCTTGGCTGTAGACGCTGAGCTCCACACATAAATCTTTTTTTTTTTTTTTTTTTTTTTTTTTTTTTTTTTTTTTTTTTTTGTCTTTTTGAGACAGGGTCTCGCTGTGCCATTCAGGCTGGGCTTGAGCTCACTCTGTAGCCCAGGCTGGCCTCAAACTCGCAACGATCCTCCTGCCTCAGCCTCCCAAGTGTTGGGATTACAGGCGTGCGCCACCACGGCCAGCCTCCACACATAAATCTAAGCCCTTCTTCCTTGTTCATGGAGGGCGCCTGTCCCCTCCTAAAGCCTGCCTCCCAGCAAGCTCCGTTTACAACTCGGCACTCTCGGCACGCAATGCACCCTCCGGAGATGCTGGACTCAGCGACTGTGGTCACCGCTTCTTTTAAAAACGACTTACTTTTTTCTTTCTCTGTGAACACTTTTCCAAGTCGGCGTATCTCCTGAAAAATAAGACAGCCTATCATGTTGGAGCTCAGCCCGCCCACACCATCTTCAAATGCGGACTGTGCCCCTGGCCTTGGGGGACAGGCCTGGAGGGGACATGCAGGCCTTGGAGGATGAGGTCCCAGTTCAGGGGCACACAGGGCCCAAGGAGGTTGGCTCAGCCACCCTGCTTCCTGTGCACTAAGGCCCCAGGGTTACAGCAACTTCTGCCCTAAGGATTTTAGGGGAGCTGCCTGACATTCTTTTTTTTTTTCCTTGTCTTTTTGAGACAGGGTCTCTCTGTGCAGTTCACACTGGCCCTGAGCTCACTTTTAGCCCAGGCTGGCCTCAAACTTGCAACGATCCTCCTGCCTCAGCCTCCCAAGTGCTGGGACTATAGGCGTGCACCACCACACCTGGCTTGCCTAACATTCTTAACAGTTCACACACGTGGCTTCTTTGAGTAGCTCTTCCCATAACCAAGTGGAGCAGCACCCTTTTCACTCTCGTGGCAAGGAAATCGAGGCTCAGTGAGATGCAGGTTCTACTCCGCGTCCCACACCCAACCACAGGCAGAGGTGAGATTGAAATCCATCCAGCACAGGCCAGGTCCCTCCAGTCACACTGAGTCTCCTATGCTACATCCCCAGCCCTTTTTTTAATTTTTATTTTGAAACAGGGCCTTGCTAAGTCACTAAATTGCCAAGGCTAGGCTGGAATTTGCAATCTTCTTGTCTCCGCCTCCCAGGATGCTGGTATCACAGGCGTGAGCCATCATGTCCAGCTTCATGAGATTTCTTTAAGGATGTGGAACATGCAGTTCCCTCCTGGAATGTCCACCAAATGACCCCTCCTCTGACCTTCCAAGGACAGATAGCTGGGAGGGACTCTGTGAAGACCAGAGAAGCATCCACCAGGTCCAGTGGGCATCAAGGAAGCCATGCAGAACCCTCAGAGTGACCCACAAGGGACCCTTCTGGCGGGAAAGGGGCTCTGCAAAAGAGTGCCATACCCTCTGTAATGGTTGATACATTGTGTCAACTTGAGTTTAGAAGCATAACTAAGTGACTCAGCAGGGGCCAGGATCCTCGCTTTGCAAACATCCTGAGCCTGTGCAAGAGGAAGGCACAAAATAGCGTGGGCAGGTAGCCTGCATACAATACAACAAAGGAAAAGAGGCTTGCTCTCCCATCTCCCTTTGCTCTTCTGCTTTTGCTGTCTTCTGCCACCTTGAATGGTTGCCCCTCACCATACCAGTCTGCCTTGGAGCCAGCGCATTACAGACTGAAACCTGCACAAACTGTGAGCTAAATAAACTTTCCTTCCTTAATTTAGAGTGTTGTGTATTTAGTCTCAGCAATGAGAGAGAATTAACTAAGTCACCCCCAATACAATTAAAGTGCTTTCTTTCCAGGTGCAGAATTGGAGGGCACAGGTTGTCCATAGAAGGGACAGTGAGGTCATTCTTCAAGTGGTGAGACAGGTCCCCAACAACGTCATCATCCTTCTGCTCCCTGCTCTGTGCTCACAGCCACACTCGCTGTATTGTGCCCTGGTACCATGCCCAGGCTCCACGGTGACACGCAGGGCTTCTTCCCCTGAGGAGCCTGACACTCTGCACAAACCTGCATTTCTGCAGGTAAGGAAAAGCAAGTCAAGTTAAGGAAACAGAACCCTGGGTTCTGTGTGCTGCACAGGCCAGCGTAGCCCAGGCCTGGGACCAGCTCTGGAACTATTTTGCATATTTCCACTCTTAATCTCCAGGACTCCCAGGCCCCAAAGACAGCAGGAACAACATAAGAAGTGACTATCCTTGGGAATCTATCAAAGCAGGGTGGTTCCTCCGTGCCTAATTTTTAAAATCCAGCATGGAATTGTACATTACAAGAGCATCATATTTTGCTACAGAAAAATAACCAATAGTGAATTTTGAAAAGGACATATTTTTAACAGGTAGGCACTGGGGAGAGAAAGGCAAAGCTTACTAAAAGTCAGGAGGAGACCGTATAAAATGTACTCACTGTTGGACCTCACTGGGGACTCTGGGGGACCTCCAATAAGGGTAGTGTTTGAAGGTCTCCAGCCCTGCAGCAACATAAAAATGATTGTCTTGCAAATCCTTGGAGTTGTCTAAGAGATGTCCGTTCATGGTAAATAACCTGCAAAGGTGGGAAGAAGAAATGGGATGTATCTTAGGACCAGGAGCATAGGGCTTTGGGTGTTTGTTGTTTGTGACACAACCAGTGTGTGAACTACACAGAACAGACAGACTCACCACCAAGTGAGCCCCATGTGGGTACTCAAACCCTGCAACAGCAGCTTTTGCTGGATACATCTGCTTTCCACTTTGAGATTCGGTTTTGTTTTGTCTCTTTGCAGCACTGGGGATTAAACTTGGGGCCTTCACCCTCAGCTACATCCCCAGCCCTTTTTAATATTGTTTCTTTTATGACCAGCTAAAGCAAATACAAGTTGGTTTGTATAATTAATTAAAATTAACTGAATACCAACAAAAGGCTTCATGTGTTCTGGAAAAGCTTCCAAGCCTTTGTGCATAACGTTTAAAAAGGCTGTACTCTGAGAGGTTGAAGCAGGAGGATTACAGTTCCAGCCCGGGCAACTTACTGAGTGGATTGTCTCAGGTATTTTGTTGTAGTTAAGGAAAGCTAGCAGAGTTTTAAGATGAAACAGCTTCACAAGATGAGAGGATCAGCAGGGAAGGCGGCTAGTGGCTGGGATTTCACCATGAAAAGAGCAGACAGAGGCATCCGGGTCCACAGGAGGGGCTGGCACAAAACAGCAGAGCACAAGAGTCTGCCTGCCATGGGGGCAAATGCAGGCAAAGCAGGAGGATGTGCAGGTCAAGGGTAAGTTATCAGGAACCAGGCACTGCAGGGAGATGCTGCTGTCAGGGAAGATTTCAGTGGTAGGAGCTGTTTCCTAGCAACAGTCAGTGCAGGGGGTGGCAGACAGAGGAAGAGGGAGGGAAGACGCAGAGCTGCAGGAGGATGCCACGTGGAATTGCGGATCAGGGCAGCAAGTGCATGTGCAGGAGGAGAATGGAATAAGACACATGGGGAAAGTACCACAGGTAAAGATGGCCCCTAGGTGTCCCCAGGGGTCCGCAGATGGGCAGAAATCTTGTGAAAGCAAGACAGCAGCCCCTCTGCAGCTACTTCTGACCCTAAGTGCAGGATAGGGCTGAGCATGTTATGCCTAGTACATTCCAGTGGCACAGAGGCAGGTCCTCCTGGCCCTCTGAGAGGTGGTACCTGAGATCACCCCTGAGAAGGGACACAGAAGGGACAACCATGAGGAGCCCTCAGAACTGACTGTGACATGGGACAGAGTACTGCACATGGAATGCAGTGCTTGGGGTCTTATTCTGTCCCTTCTACAGCCTTGGGACATTTGGTGCCTGATCCCACAGTGGACTCAGGCAGCTGGAGCAAGTGTCCCAGGAGTGAACCATGACAGTAAGAAGGTATGGGGCTGACGGATAGTACTGGGGTCCTGCAGGTGTAAGGAGAGGTCACCTAAAGCTCCAGGGGTTGAGCAGTGTGGATCAAGGGGAGATCCCACCAGCATAAGACAGAGAATTGTCATCAATGTGAAAATGTTACTACAAAAGGAGAGATTTCCATCATGAAACAAGAACAGGAAACCATAAAAGGGAGCCCAGAGAAAGACTGATTTGAACTAGAATAGTAGATTCTGCAAATGAGAAGAGGATCAAGAGACGGAGGGAACAGGGAAAAGGAGAGGAGAGGGGAAGTAAAAAGAATTAAGACGTGTTGTGTGCATATACCAACTCCCCATGATGAGTGGAATCATTATGTACTAGAAACATGTACTGGTAAAAATAAAAATCAGGGAAAAAAAAATAGAATTGTAGAAACAGTACAATAATGAGATGGATTTTGGAATAAACATAGGTAACGGAAAAATTACAATTTGGAAGATAAAATCTGGGAACTCTCCTAGAGGAGAACAGGAAAAAATAAAGAAACAGGATCTATAAGGAAAAGTTCAGCAATGAGGGTCAGAAGTGTCAACACACAGATAATAAGAATGCACTGCAGTTTATCTAGCCTCATGGTTTCAGGGGATTCAGTCCACAGTAGCTGCTCCAAGGCAGGAACATCATGGCGGAAGGACGTGGGGGAGCAAAGCCGTTCAGTTTATGGTGGCCAAGAAGCAGAGCAATGGAACAGCACCAAAAAGGAAGCAGCAGGGGCCAGACGTAGATTCAAGGTCACATTTGCATGACCAACCCAGACACAGAAGTGTGCATTACTAATCTCTCAGGTGGCTCCCAAGCCAATTAGGTTGCCACAACTAAGCTTACCCACCACAGATGGTACAAAGACTGAGAAAATATAACCTGCTTTAAAGTATTACAATCAGAGTTTACGGCAGATGGTCTAAAAGGAAATGCTCATAGAAAAATCCAAAAACCACCCAAGTAGGGGGCGTCTCCTTACTTCCGCACTCCTCCAAGAGGGAAGACTTTTTCTCCGATCGTGGCCAGCACGCTACTCCAATCTGACAGGCTGAATTTGGGTATGATAATTTTTATAGGTGGGCTAAATAACTTTCCATTTGTAAAAACACTGTAAGAATAAAAAAGCAAAGCATTCATTAGTACCTATAAATGGGAGAAGAAAATACTAAAAACTCATAGAAAATATATGTACAATTACAGACCCTCACAAGCATCATGATGTGCTAAACGGCACCCAATTTTAGAGCCAGGCCCTGCAGAGGCACCAACCACATGGGACAGTATCCTCAAGCCTGCTGATATAATGCGGATGTTAGGAAGATGCTTTTTACATAACCTAAGGTGCCCCGGTAAACAAAACACTACTTCTCTCAAAGCATGCCTTCAACTACACTGATGGGTAAAGTGGAAGAAAACTGTCCGTTTGGGAAATAAATAAGGAAATTGTACCTTAAAAAGTGTAGCTGGCCAGGCATGGTGTCACATGCCTGTAATCCCAGTACTCAGGAGGCTGAGGCAGGAGGATCACTGTGAGTTTGAGGCCAGCTTGTGCTACAAAGTGAGTTCAAGGCCAGCTTGAACTGCATAGTGAAACCCTGTCTCAAGAAGACCCAAAAAAACAAGTGCAGCTACTTCCCTCACCATGGAGCCAAGACAGAGTCACAAAGGAAAAACAATAGCACCTCGGTCCATGAAATTAATTCTTTCCATGACTCTGGTCGCAAACTGAATTGGACGAGAACCAAATCAAACTCAATGGTTAGGTTTAATGTTGACTTCATGGGGAAATTTGATTTGGTTCTCATCCAATTCAGTTTGCGACCAGAATCATGGAAAGAATTAAGTTCGTGAACAGAGGTACCACTGTAGCTTGCAGTCCTTTGAAAACATCATAAAAAATCAATCTCTCTGTGGCAGTCCTAAGGCAGCAGCTCCTTGAGATCCCAGGGTAGGGGGTTTGTTTTATCATTTCTACCTGTTAGAGGCTAAAGGGGTGCCCAGGAGATTTTCAAAACACAATGCAAAGTGTTAATGAGACATATTAACCCATGCCACTTGGCAAGCATTGTAAACTCTTGTCACTTGGACTAAGTTAAGGTGAAACACAAGTTTGATTTCCTTAAGCTTAAAAGGAATGTATGATATCATTGACATCCTTCAACACTGCAAAGGCTTAGCTTTACAATTCTCAATTTTTTTTTTATATTATTGTTTACTATTGCTGTGTTTTGGGGTTTTTTTGTTTTGTTTTGTTTTGTTTTTCCGGGACCGGGAATCAAACGCACGACCTTGCGCTTGTCAGGCAGGCGCTGTGCCGCTGAGCTAAACCCCCGGCCCTATTGCTGTGTTTTTAATAGGGTTTTTTTCTTCCCATTTCATAAACATTGCTCTTTTTTCAGAGTGAATATAAATTTTAATTTGATGTGCTTGTCACAATAAAAAGAATTCACTTTTTCTGCTAAAACCCTTTACCAAAAGGGACTTCTGGTCAATCCACGGTCCACCTTCTTCCATACTGACAGTACTGTCTGAAATAAGCCGTGGGGAGAACCGCCGTACACAGTGCATGGACGCACAGTTCCTCAGTGTGTGATCGCTGCCACAGTAGGGGATTTCTGCAGTGTTTTCAACAATTAGTCTCCCTAATTGGTTTGCGTCAAAAGTGTTTCTACAGATTACTGATAGTAATAAATATTGAAATAAAATCATCTCTGCTTAAATATTTAAGATTTTTAACATACATTTTTATCCTGCTGTTAAGAAGCACAGTGATACACTTACAATGTACAAGGGGCAACCAAAAACTAAACTGAATGTTTAATTTTTTTTTTAAGATTACAGCGAAAACATGTCATGAATCCCCTTCAAAATCCTCCCTCTCACTTCAGACCCATTTATCCCATCGTTTTTGCCACTTTTTGCAGATGCTCTGGACATCTTTTTCCTGAGTGTCTTCCCAAGCAAGGTATGAATACAGATACAGTGAATGCTGCTGCCCAGTACCATCCAACACAAAGGCAGCTCCTAAAACCATGACGCTGCGTCCTCATCCCCCTCAGTCACTGGGTCTGGCGTTGTGCAACCTCTGGCTCTTCCCCAAAGTCAAACCGACCAGGAAAGGAAAATGCTTTTAATCCACTCAGGACACTGACGCAACCAGGACTGTGCAACTAAAGACCCTCAGGAAAGAGGACTCCAGAGCTGCTGCAGAAAGTGGCAGGGATGATGGGATGAGTGTGCTCCAAGTCAGGGGAGGATTTTGAGGGTGATTGATAACAATGTGTCTTACTGTAAAATTTTTTTTTTAATTTAAACTTCATATATTTCTTTTTTTCTCTCTGTGACTTTTGTTTTTATTTTTTACCTTTTTGTGCCTTCTGGTGAGCAGCTGTTTTGGTTTGGTTTGGTTTGGTTTGGTTTGGTTTGGTTTGGTTTGGCTTGGTTTTTAAAGAGAAAAGAACATTCATCATATATTTCAATCACCCTTTATAGTTAAAAACTAGCAGTCTTCCAGAAGGGCACTTTGGCAGTACACATCAGTGCAATGTAAGCAGTCAATGGTGCTAAGCCAGTGGTCCATGAGAGCCATCCCAGAGAAATGTAGACAAAGATATTTCTCAGGCAGTTACTTATACAACCAAAGATCTAAAAGCCTAAATGTCTAAGTTTGGAGGAATAGCTAAATAAATTATGACATAACTGTACGATAATAAGTTATGCCAGTATCCAAAACTGTTTATGTTGAATTTATATTTATCAGGAGAATTGTCAAATATAATGAATGCTTAAAAAAAAAAAAAACAGCAGCAGGCTACCAAGAGAGCTCTCAAAGGAAATGCACTTCGAGGTAATCCATGTTTTTTCTGAGGAGTGGGATAAATTGGTGATTTTTTTTATGCTATTCTTTATTCATTTGTAGATTTCCACTTTTTTAGGAAAAGCATCTAAAAATAGGGAAAAACTATAATTTTTTTAATTTTTTTAAGGTAAAGAAAAGAAATGTCAGGGATGGCAGATGCATGTCATCCCAGCCCTGTGGGAGGCTGAGGCAGGAAGATCACAAGTTTAAATCCAGCTTGGAAGGGGCTGGGGATTTAGCTCAGGAGCACAGCACCTGCCTGGCAAGCGCAAGGTCATGAGTTCCATTCCTGGTACCTGAGAAAAACCAGAAAATAAAAAAAAATAAATCCAGCCTGGGCAATTTAGCAGTTTAGCAAGACCCTACATCAAAAAATTAAAAATAAAAAAGGCTGGGGGAGGGGCAGCTCAGCGTATAGGTCTTAGGTTCAATCTCAGAAAGGGAGAGAGTAAAGGAAGAAGAGAGAGAGAAAGAGAGAGAGAGAGAGAGAGAGAAAGAGTTGTAGCATTTGAAAGGCTGTGTCATTTTCCAAATAAGCAAACATGCTGAAGGTCATTGAAACAACTTGTTCTAAATTCAAAGATTCTTACCTCAGATTCTAAACTGGAAATCATAAACCAGTGCTCACTTTGTTCACTAAGGTATGCCCAGTGCCTGCCTCGTAGTTGGTGTTTAAAAACATTCAGATGAAAAGGAAGCAAATGTTTTAGCTCTCTGATCCTCCTTTTGAGATCATGTTTAGTAAAAAAATAATTTCTAAATTAATACTTACATGTTTAATGTGATAGTTCATGTTTGTTTGAAGTGATCATCTTTAAAAGTCACAGTTGCAATCTACCCTTTAATGAATGAATGAAAGAAAGAGAGAGAAAAAAAGAGAGAGAGAGACAGAAAAGGAAGAACGAAAAAGCAGTCTGGTGCATGCACACCTACAATCTGAGCATTTAGGAGGCTGAGGCAGGAGACTCACCATGAGATCAAGGCTAACCTGGGCTACAGAGTGAGAACCAAAAAGAAAGAAAAAAGAAAGTGTACATAGTAAAGCAGTTAATACACAGCAGAATTCACCAGTCAGCAGGAAAGAAGAAGAAGGATGGGGAAGAGGAGGAAAAAGGTTGGGCTAGGAAAGCCGGTCAGGAAGAGAGTATGCTTTTTAAGGCTTCGTGACATGTTTTGACTTTTCACCCACAATCCTGTACTCACTTTATATGACGGTATATTCGATGACATGTTTGCCACCTGGACGGCACATTTATATCGCAATGCACCACAGGTTTGATCTGAAAAAGACAGCATAAGCCTCAGAGTGCCATTCTCAGGAGAAGACACCAGGTTAAAGCCCAGCAGTGTGCAGAGCAGCATCCCCCAAGCAGAAGAGAAGTCCCCTCATCACAGATCATCCAGTGGGACAGGAGGCACTCACAGACAGAAGGACGTGCACTGGGGGCAGATGGGTCCTGGGGTGTGGGGTGGGGTGGGGTGGTTTGGGGCTGAAAGCTACGCACCCCAGTGGTAGAGAACACAAGAGGTAAAGGGCAGTGTGCACAGAGGTGACAAAGGTCCAGGAGGAGAGCCACACAGAGCCATGCCACATGGCTGGCACCTGGGACGCACCCGGCAGCTCGTCCAACAATCACACTTCCCAACAGTGGAGCCCAAAAGCTGACAGGGTTGAGGCAGGAAGCTGCCATGGAAACTGGGGCTAAATCCACCTTCTAAGTCAACCATTAGCCCAGGACTGGGATGCCCAAGTTTAAACACAATGGGAAAGGTAGGCATGTCACTTAGCTTTTACACAATAAGAACCTGGACATGTATTCTGGGGTCTTCTGCAAACCATGGCTCACTCAATCCTAATTATCATGTCATTGACTATGCAGATTTAACTCCACCCCTTTATGGGCTCTGGACACCATGACACTTCCTCCAAGAGCATAAACACTCAAAAACTCCACCACCCAAAGAGGGCCAAGCCAAGCTGTCCACTGGCGGGAGTCAAACCTCCGCCCAACCCTTCAATCCCACCCCAAACTGTGAGGCTTCGGAATGCTCAGCACTGAGCTCTCTTGGTGCCACGAGCATTTCTCACTGGCGGGGCCCATCCTTCAGAGTGTACTTTCAGTTTCAAATAAATCTTTGCTCTTCCTGCTCCTTTGGGGCATCCTGCTCAGTTCTCTGTCCAGGACATCAAGTGCCAGGACAGCAGCCCCAGTGCAGTAACCCAGCGGCTTTCGTTTTCAGACAGCAAGGTTGGAGCACGTGGGTGGGGGAACCACAACCCCGTGTTCCCTGACCCCGCTCAGCTTCCCCTTAGAAGAACGCCACAGCCTGGGCCCACATGGCCGGTCTCAGCTTCAGCCTAAGGTGCACAGGGTCTGACACCTGACAGGGAAAGAACTGGGGCCTGGCGGGGCGGACCAAGGTCCCCATTGCCCCAGTCCCATGGGGAGGGTGTGTGTGGACACCAATGTCACCACCCTATGCTGCAGAGTCGGACTCCCCTCGGGGACCCCAAACGTCACGCTACCATTCTTTGAGCTCTGAGGACCATGGTGGCCTCTGTCCCCAGCCATAGGAAGAGCTCCATGGGGTCCTTCCCCACCTCCTCTTGTCCCTCTCCTTGTCCACTCCCCCCTGCCTGCCTGTCCCTGCCAGGGTCCCATTCCCCTGCCCCTCCCACTGACACCGCTGTCCCCACTGCCTGCTGGACAGTATGCACACGGCCTTCTGCATCGTCATCTCCCTGCTCCATGTGCCGGGCCAGCCTGGCTCCATTTCCAGCTACTCCACACCTGTGAATCGGGGCCCCATCTGCCACCAGGTGCCTGCTGCTCCACATAGGCCTGCACCCCCATTAGTCACCCCTGCAGGTGCTCCTGGAACCCCAGCCTCCCAGCCTGCCCTGCTCCCTGTCCCCTCTGCTACCAGCTCACGCACAGGCAGGCAAGTCACTGGAATGCTCCCCAAATACTCCACAGGGAGCCAAAAGCTACCCACAGGAGCTCCTGCACCAAGGGTAGCCCAGTGCCCAATGGGAGCTGAGACCCAACCACAAACACCATCCCCACCAAGGCAGGAAGCACCAGTGCTCTCTCTGCAAACTGCACAAGGAGGGGTATCCAGGAGCAAGCACAGGGGCCCCAAGAAAGAGGAGGAGGTGAAGAATGTGCGGGCTGTGAGAAGTCAGCTCAGCACAGCGCCACCATCCTGGGACTCAGGATTTGACCTGGTGGGGCGAGGGAGGCAGTGGAGGAAACTGAGGACCCTGAATCCCAGCTCCTGCTGCTGTGGGATTGCAGGAGACTACAAAGCTCTCTGGACAGCAGCTCACTGCTTCTCATAATGGGGATGCTGGGCTTCAGGGAACTTTTAGGAGAATCAAACAAGAGAAGAGATTATAAAAGGACCCGTGCTACCCCATCACGTAGTAATAAGGTCTTAACCCAATCCATGAGTCCTCACACCACAGGAGGGGAGATGGGAGGCAGAGCAGGCAGAGCAGGCACCTTGGTCTTGGTCCTGAGTTCGAGTCCCAGAACCAAAAAATCATACTAATAATAATTACAATACCATAATATAACATAATAAAGAAAATCAGATATATAAAGAAAAATAAATTAGCCTGCACTTAGCTTTGAAAACTTTTGTGGCTGCTGTGAGAGAGATAAGAGAGAGGAGGGTTGCTGTGTAGGGTGACTTTCACTATCACTGATGGAATCACTGCTGTGTACTGACCCAATGGCCCAGGGGAATCTTCTCCTTTTCCTGCAGCTTTAACAAGAACCTGTCCCATGACACTTGCTTCTGCCTCCTATAGAGGATTTTGCAAAATGTGGCATTGCATTGTCCTTACACCGACTCACTGCGCACACTGCTACAGCTTTATTCGGGTGGTGTTTTCTACAATTTTGCATTGTTTCCCCTTTTTACACACCTCCCAAATCTCATGTGAAATGGGGGATTCCTCTGCCTGTTTCTCCTCCTCCTCTGCAGAAGAGCTCTCCTCCATAACCTCTTGCTGTTGGGAGACAGTCACCCACAATACCACAACAAGACAGAAAGGGCTGGGGGGGACCACTGGCTCAATTGTGATCATATGACATTAAGCATCATGTACTATTTGTATTACAAAACATCGCTCCTTTATCAAGTAAAAATTTACTAGAAATGTTTGCTCATCTGATGGTGTTTTGTTTTTGCTCTTTGTCTTTTTGAGACAGGGTTTCACTATGCAGTTCAGGCTGGCGTAGAACACCCAGCAATCCTTGGGCCTCAGCCTCCCAAGTGCTGGGATTACAGGTGTGCACCACCACACCCACCTGGTTTGGTTTGGTCTGGTTTTATTTTGCTGTGAGACAAGGTCTCACTATGCAGTTTAACCTAGCCTTGAACTCACTATGTAACCTGGGCTAGCCTTGAACTCACAGCAATCCTCCTGTCTCAGCCTCCCAAATGCACCACCACACCTGGCCAATGGAACACTCGCAGAACAAGCTACTCGCAACCCAAGGTTTCCCTGTATATAAAATCATACACACCTGCATACGAAGAGTGGAAAAAATCAAAACCATGAACGTCAACAACTGGCGGAGATTTACAGCCCACATTTGAAAACAAAACAGAAATCAAGCTTTGCAGAATTCTGTTAAGGTACAGCCGCCCTAAGAACAGCTTTTGGCTTGATTGCATAAATTATGGAAACAATGAGCTAATTGCTCTTTTGATGTGTTAATGATTCATTAACCCTGATGTCACCTGCCTAATTAAATAACTCCAGCTATTAAGTACATGACTTTGGATTTGTTTTTTATTCACCACACTCCATAGAATAATCCACTGAGAAGCACTGAGTAAACGCGGCCATCTGCTAGTGACCACGTCTCATTCACATTTATCAGAGCCACGACTCACTCACGCACCCCTCATCTGTCCGGGCCGCTGCAGGGTGGCGCTAAAGACACCGATCCCACAAGTGCATGACCCTATCTCACTGTCCCAGCTCCCTGAAGTGGATTCTTTGTCTGCATTCCAACCTAATTTTCCAATCAGCCAGGCCAACTCTCCAGGTAGCAAAGATTCACATTATGAGCCTGGTGTAGTGGTGCTTGCCTGAGAGGCTGAGGAAGGAAAACTGCAAGGTCAAGCCCGGCCTGGGTAATTTAACAACTCAGCAAGACCTTGTCTCAAAATACAAAATTTTTAAAGGGTTGGGGATGTAGCTCAGTGCAAAGGTCTTGTGTTCAAACCTTAGTACCACAAAAAGAGAGAGAGAGAGAGAGAGAGGCCTGGATCATCATCCTGCTGCCACAGTCATGACCTCCAAAGCCTAAGCTGCACTGCGACCCCACAGCACCCTGAGGAAGCAGCAAACAGAGGGACACACACAGGATGAGGCAGCAGAACTCAATCCACCAACACTGGGCGTGCAGCGTGGGCAGCAGGCCGGGGGCCCCAGGAAATGTCACACCACGCGTGCATCTGTCACCACGGTGCTGGGGGCTGCTCAGCACCAGCACAAGGAGGTGGAGTGCCACACTGTCTCTCCTCTCCCCTCAGCGTCCCCTAGCTCTGGCCGCGCGGGACAAGGGACCGCTCCCCTCCTGCAGGGCCTGAAGAAGGTGGAGCCCTGAGAAGCTTCCCAGTGTCATCACAGAGGTGACTGGAGCTTTCAAAACGTACAGCGTATGCCACCTGGCAGAATGGTCTGGAGCCACCAAAAAAAAAAACTATTGTAATACAGGACCTCATTTGTTGACGTGAAGAGATTTTGTGATCAATTAAGTAAAATGGGATTCTGTAAAACAAAAAGTATGCAGAATGTGCTCCTGTTTTGCTTAAAAAGAATGTAAAGTTAGAAATACATATGTATGCAGATATGTGTATGTACAGATGTTGACACCATGTAGAAAAACACGCAATTCATCTCTGGATGAACAGCTTTCAGTGTCTTTTCCTTTGAATCATATATA